CCGGGCCTGCACTCTGGGTCTGTTCAGGATCCCATGGTCCCGGTTGTCTCACTCACTCGCCGGGCCTGCGCTCTCCAAATATCCTTTCAACAAATGTTTATCTGATTTGTGACATGGAACTTTCATTATTGTGGAAAATTATATGACAAATAGTGTGAGAAAAATAGGAGGGTAAGAAGTGAGATACTGTTATGTAACATTTTCAGCAAAGACCTTACTGATAAGGTGGATTTAAGCAGATCTGAAGAAGTGATAATATGAGCTAAATAGGCCCAAAGGCAAGAGCAGCCAGAGGGTTAATAGTGCAAAAGTCCTGAAGCAAAGGCATACTTGGTACATGGAAGAGGATGGAGTGGAGGGAAAAGAATTACCAGGTAAAAGCCAGAGCAGAAGGAGCAACTTGCACAGGTGTTTGTGGATCATCGGAACTTTTATTCCAAGATGGATAATGATTGGTGTGTATTAAGATGGGGCACCTGTGATGGTGAATGAGACCTGGTGTGGTGGCACGCACCTGTAATCCCAGTGCTTGGGAGGCTGAAAACAGGAAGATCACTACAAATCCAATTTGTGCAGTGAGGCCCTGTAGATCCTGCCCTAAATACATTAAAAAAAAAAAAAACAAACAAACCTCTGGGGAGATAGTTCAGTAGAATAAGCACTTGCCTGGCAAGCACAAGAGCCAGAATTCAATCCCCAGTACCCCCCCCCCAAAAAAAAAAGTCTTACTGACTCTTACAGGATCCACCCTGTGTATGAGAGTAGACAAAGTATCAGGAGGACTTCACTGTGAGCCAGGTGAAAAGTGAGAGGTAGTAAACAGAGATCAGATTCTGGATAGATTTTGAAGGAAATAATGGCAGGATTTACTGACACAGTTGATGTGAAGTATAGAAAGATCAAAGATGACACCAGTTTTTACCCTAACTGGAAGAATGGAGCAGTCATTTGATGGGATAGGAAGGATATGAGTAGGACTTGTTTTTTTGGGTTTTGAGACAGCATCTTGCTATGCAGTTTGGGTTGGCCTTGTGCTTACTTTTTGTAGCCCCCAGACTGATCTCAAACTCATAGTGATCCTCCAGTGCTGGGATTACAGGTGTACGGCACCATGCCCAGGGTCCCAGGGGTTGGGACAGCATGCTGGACTTGGGATCCAACTTGGGACCTTGTGCTTGCTAAGTAGGTGCTTATGCCTCTGAGCTATCTCCCTAGTGCCAATTTTGGATACATTAAGTTTGTGATGCCTGTTAAACATTGAGGCAGTGCTATAAAGGTAAGTGTGAGACTAAGGTTTAACGGACTGGTGTGAGCTGTTAAATTGTTTGGTCACACATGCCAGTAATCTCAGCTGTTCAGGGTGCTGAGACAAGAGGATTGCAAATTCGCAAGGGCAGCCTGGGTAAGCTTTAGTGAGATCTTGTCTCCAAAACAGGTGGAGGACGTGTGGAGGCTGGGGATGTACTTATTGAGCACCACCAGGTTCTATCTTCAGCATCAAGAAAAGTGGGTTTCACCCAAGCAGATATTTGTATTGCCTAGGAATGGAGAACATAGTTACAGTTTTGAGATTTCAATTTTGGGGCGACTCCTGGATTTAGAAGCTATAAAATGAACCAGGAAGACATGCAAATCCTAGCAGGTAAGATGAAGAGCTCTGGGAAGAGAATTAGCTGTGTCAAATGCTAACAAGTCTAAAACTTGATTAGGGAACATAGACACAGATGATCTTGAGTAGATTCAGTAGGCGGACTAAATCTGATTGTTATGAGTTAAGAGACAAAGTATTTCTATAAAGGAGAGATTAGTGAATAGTGGGGTTATATTTGGAGGTCAAATTTTTTTCAAGATTATAACTTGTATAATTATTTTATAAGTGAATGTGAGCCAGTTCAGAAGGAAAAATTTGTAAGTGAAAATTCTAAGTAAAGTTCAATTTAATGCAAAAGTGGCAAGTTTACTCTTAGATAGGATTTATCTATAGCAACTAGCACTGCGCTGTATTTTTAGATGCAGAAAAGTTGGTTAGTTCAGGGTACTAGTACAACCATTACTGGAGGTAATGGGTTTAGAGGGCATGAAACACCTGGTTAAGAAAGTAGGATTAAGTGGATTAATGTCACCTGTAGATGAAAAACACATTAACTTTAATGGTAATACGACAGTTTTTGCCCAGCTGTTATGCTTGCTTGCAGGATTACACCGCAGTCAATTAACTGGGGTTGTGGTTTAGAAAGGTAGGGAGAAGAAAAGAATGCAGGTATTTTCAAAGGATTGAGCAGTGAGGCAAAAAACTTTTTTAAAAATTACTGTGATATTTAATGCATGTTTTAGTAAATACAGATAATTGTTATTTGTGGCAAGCATGTCTAATAAAGTCATGAACACTGACAGCTCTTAGGGTAAACACAAGGGTAAGATCTTGTGAGCCTTTGACCACATCTTCATGAGCAGATCAACATATTAAAAGAAACCTGATTTAACCAAAAGCACTAATGATAAATCTGAATGAAAGTTATCTGGGGGTGGTCAGATAGCGCAGTGGACTAAACACAGGGACCGGGGGTTTAAGCCCTGGTGTGCTGTGCCGGGCTGGCCCCAGGCCCACCCCTGAGTGTGTGCTGAGAGGTGACTGAGTGTGGTGGCGCACCACGGTAATTCCAGCCCTTGAGAGGCAGAAAATAGGATCACTACGAATCCGACCTGTGTAGTAGAGACGCTGTACTAATTTTTTAAAAAAGTTATTTAGCATTCCTGCTTTCTCCTTAAGGCTTATCAACACTACTCGGGGGATGTTTAGGGAAGGCATTTAAAATAACTTTTTTTTTTTTTTGGTCAGAACCAGGGATTGAACTCAAACCCTTGTGCTTGCCAGGGAAGTACTTATGCTACTGAGCCATCTCCCTGGCCCCAAAATAACAAAAATGTGCACCAATAAAAAAACACACAAAATATGGCAGTAACTATGTGTTATAGAAGACAATTGTTTACTGCATAAGAAGCAAAATAGACTGAGCTCTTGATCAGTCTCAGCAGAGAACATGGGTGTCAGGCAAATCAAGGTTCCATGGAGTTTATGTCCACGAATGCTGAGACTGATTTTGATATTACAAACAAATTTCACTGAATAGAATTTCAAATTTGTAATAACGAGGATTAACTGTACATTGAGTGAAATGTCCTTAACTCAGTTTAGTTTGTTATCAAATAGGATAAGGCAATTTCAGCAGTCACTCGCCTAAGTGGAATAGTGCTGCCAGCTTTCAAACTGTGCACATTATACATGTAGGTATTTTTTTTTTTTTTTGACCACTTCTAACCTGATTTTTTTTGTAACGGCGAATGGACCCATTGATCTCATATTTCTTTCTTTCTAACATCTTCAGTGGACATCAATAAGACTTTCACTGGTCCTCACAAAAAAAAAAAATTAGCTTTTGACAAATAAGCCTATGTAATTATCTTTTCAGTTGTGATTTCAGCTGCTCACATCATTCCATCTTTCTAAGTCTAGCAATAAGGTAACTTGTTGTATACCGAACATTATTTTTTGATAGTTTTCTCTAAACTCTTGGTTCTTCTGATTTGCATCTAACTCTGTATGCTAAATATTGTAGCTGCACTTTGGGTTCACTGCACCTTTTATTTACATCAAATCAATGCCGGCTCACAAAGAGCTCTGGGCACAACTAATAAGCCACTCGAGTACCACCCCGTATCAAGAAAAGGTTAATTGTTCAGGGTATCGGAAGGTTCCCCTTCCCTAAGTACACAAAACCAAATTTGGAACAATTCCATTTAGCGCACTCTGCCTTTATTCACTTCCAGAATCTCCAAATAAATTTTCTTTCACAAAAGGACCTTTAGGTAAGGGAGAACTAGAAGAGCAAAAGCAAGAACTGAGAGTAAAGTTGGAGAAGGAACATGTGGAAAACGCCGAGGCCACGCAGCACCGCTTTCTGCCGCCGCCCCCCACCCCCTTCGGCTGCTGTCATTCACCGACCTGCGCGGCGCGGCGCGGCGCGGCCTCGCGTCCAGAACCTCCGCTGTCGGCCGCACCGGCGCACGGCCTTCCTACACGCCGCAAGGGACCCTCACATCCTCCACAGTCGCCATTCTCGCCTAGAAAGCTCGCTTTCCTTCTCGCTTTTGGGGTGAGACTTACGGCCTAGCCGCGCAGGCCCGGCTCGCAGCAGCCCTGCCTGCCAGAGGCCGTCGCGCGCGGGTCACTTCAGCCGCAGCGGCCCTGTTCCAGATTCGGGTTCTAGGCGCGGCCCAGGGGCGCAGGACCATTCCGCGGGCCCCGCGAGGCAGCTCCGCGGTGAACGTCCGCCCGCCCTCCACTTCGGGGCTTTCCGACCACCCGCCAGAGCCCGAGGGGCGGGGGCCAGCGGCCGCAGCGCTCCCCGCAGGGCACACCTCCCCGCCGCCGCGGCCCCTCCAGGCGCACGCGCAGACACCGCCGCCCCCGGGATTTAGTCCGCGATGGCGTCCCTCGCGTCCCACCGTCTTCCTCCCGAAGGTAGCTCCCACCCTTTGCAGCTCGGAGTCCCTGGGACCAGCCGCCAGCAGGCCCCCGACCAGGACTACCCCTAAACTGGAACCACAGTAGCCAGACTTGAACGTGAAGACAAGAAGCGGCAACCGGAAAAGGCTGCCGGGCCGCGAGAAAGCAAGCCAGGCCTCAAAGAGGAAGAGGAAGGCCGGACTCAGCCGAGGTTTGCCGAAGGCGGCGCTCGGGAGCCACGCGGGGCGGGGGAATAAGCGAGGATGGGAGACGAGGGGCGCAGCGGAAATTGCCGAGCTTTTCCGAAGGCGGCAGCGTCCGAGTTGCCCGGATGTAGTTGGTGGAGCGGCAGCGGCGGCACCAGCGGCGGGAGGAGGAGGAGGAGGTAGAAGAGGAGGAGGAGGACCAGGCAGCGGCGGCGGCGGCGGGGGGGAGGAGGCAGCTGAGCTGAAGAAGGGGAAGGCGGAGGAGGCAGTCGCTCTCCGCGGGTCTGAACCGGACGCGTCTTCTTGCCCCCTCCCCCCGGTGCGCGCTGCCGCCGTGTAGTTGGCGCCGCTGCCCCGGCCGAGCGTGAGCGTGGTGTGAACGGAGGGAGATGGCCCGGGAGCGCCGGCGCCAGTAACGGGGCGGTGCTGAGCGTCGCCGAGGGCGCGCCGGGCCGGGGCT